AAGTGTCCTGTGTGCCACATTTATATGAGGTCCTGGACAGGTCTGAACCATCATGAAATTCATAAAAATTAGTTAATTTAGAGAAAAAAATGTATTTGTTTAATGGCAGGGGGGGAATGTTTATACTCAGACACTCTTTTGTTTATGGTAGAATGTGATGCCAATGTCATAAATTTTAGAAAGAATGCAGTCCCCAGATTGACCATTTCTGGGTGGGAGATTGAAGTTGATTTTGCATTGACCTCTCTTGTGCTCTGAGTCAGAATCCCATTATGCTTAGTAATGAGGGACCAGCAACTCTGAAAGCACAAATTACAGGGGATCAACCAATCAGAATGGCCAATTGAAGGCAGAGATTGATATAATCCTCCATCTTCAAGGACAAAATTACTTTCTGTAAACTGTACACTTACATACATTGAGTCAATGGACTCTGTACACAAAATGCAGTGTGTCATTTTGGTGAGAGAGGCAATCAGTAAGACCCTTTTGGTCTTACTGATTGCCTCTCTCACCAAAATTTCAAGAGGCTTACTGATTTGGGTCTTACTGATTGCCTCTCTCACCAAGATTTCAAGAGGCAATCAGTAAGACCCTTTGGGTCTTACTGATTTCCAGTAAGAGCCAAAGGGTCTTAATGATCAGTAAGACCCTTTGGGTCTTAATGATTTCAAGATTTCAAGAGGCAATCAGTAAGACCCAAAGGGTCTTACTGATTGCCTCTTGAAATCTTGAAATCATGTTGTCAAAGCCATTCTCCCTTTGCACCGTCTACTGTGCTGAGCATCACATCACCTTCATCTACTTGCCAACTTTGCTGATTCAGGAACCCTTCTTGCATGTCCCGGGGCTACGACCCATTGACAAGAACATCCAGACGACTGAAACCACATCACTCCTCTATGTTGAAAGGAACTGTTATTGAAGGGCTGTAATTAATCAGCAGACCATGTAAGAACTTTTTGTAAAACTAAACAGTTTCTATGTGAAGACACTTGCTGTCACTGTCTGTGTCACACTACCAGATATGTGAATGTTCTTAGCCATCTCTGATGTGGGATTACAATTATCACACTTTTCATCAAGTTTACTTATGCCATAAGTTGCTGACCTCTGGTATATATCATAATCATTAGAGTTATTGAAATTTTATTATTTTTATTGATCTATAAAATGATTTTCCATTTATAGTATTAAGTAAGTGGAATTAGTTTTCTGATTTCATTTGTAATTACATTATATGTATAAACATGTAAAATATTGTAAGATTAATTTTACTTGCCATTGACTTGTTTGAACTGTCATTCTAGGTAGTAACTTGGTAGGAAGGGAAAATGAAGCAAATAATTAATAATACATGAGTATTGCTTTTTGTGAAAACAATACTATCATAACTCTACATGCTTAACAATTCTTGATTTATAACTCTTAATTTTTATCTAGAGATGTTTTAATATTTATTTTTTACAAATAATGAAATAACTAATTGATGCATTCATTAAAACAAAAAAAAAGTAAAGAAATTTAAAAGCAAGTAGTTTGGAGGATAAGATTGCTCCATGTGATTATAATAGGAATTAAGCATACACAGATTTTGTTAATAAGACATTTTCAGAAGATTTGTCATTCCATCTTCAGATCTTAAATAGTTTAAACATTTGAATTCTGGTGTTCTAAAAACAGATATTTCATTTGAACACACAGAACATGATGTATACATGTTCTGTGTGTTTAATTAATGTACAGACAGAACATGTATACATCAGATGTGTACAGTCAAAAACATTTAAATGTTTATTGGTTTTTAAACACAGTGGCTTTTACATTACCTGGCTATTATCTTGCAATATTGTATGTGTAAAACCTTAAAACATAAACATACATTAAAATATACAAAATAACAAAATTAATTACTTATATACATATATACACAGAAGTTTCAAATTACATATGTTTTGAAATGTGTTTACAATTCATAATTATGTGCATAGTGCAGTTATGTTTTTTGACTTTTATTGTAACATTAACATACAACACATTGTTCAATTGAAACAAACCATTTGAAAACATATTGCAATGAACTCTTGAATAGTTAAATTATTCTCTTTATGTGTTGGCATCATCTCACATGGTCACTGATGAGTTAATACAAAATTTTCCTTGTCCAACTTGTATTTCTAATTTACAGTAAGACTTCTATTAATTAACAAACTAAAACATGCAACTTAGATCTGCTGAGCTAAAGTTTCATTATCTATTTTTATCTGTTTGAATTGGCTTTTTACTTTCAAGTAATAATTATGTTCTCAGCGTACACTTTGCTTTCTTTGTTTTCAAGAACCTTTCAAGAATTACAGTAAGACCCTGCTTAACACTGATTTGATATAACTCAGTCTGATCGAAGCCTAAAAAAGCACTCAGAATTTACGCCAATATAAATTATTGCGGCATTTCATTGATTCATATACAGTCGACCCCCCCTATAAGATCATAGATACGTTCCATTTTTTAGGAATTCAATTTCTTACGAGTCATTCCAATCACAGCCCGACACGTGTGAAGTTTACGGACTACGGCTGATTGAAAGGTTTTCTTCCATAAAATTAATCGATTCTAGACTAATCCGACTCAACATTTCCAAAATATGTATATTTTTTTTTGGAAATAATCCGTATAAACTACGCTATAAACAAAAAATTGTAGGATTACTTACCGAGTGTGCACTATTAGACATCCCCATTGCTAAAGCTTGTTTTCGTCGCGGAACAGCTCAGCAAATAGCGGCCGATTTCTAACAACTTATTTTTCTGTGAAAACTTCGTAGAACTTTGGAGACATCATTAATATAAATAATTTTAATCGCCGTTGAATAAGAAATGTTTCTTTCACAAGAAATGTATAAAATTACAGTACTGTATTAGACTTACGGTACCTAATTTACATACTGTACAGACGATAGTTAGCGTAAAATCTCCGTAGCGTGGCGCCACGCTAGACGGCGGAAATTATATATTTAATTATAACAAAGTTACAATAAGTTAATATATAATTATATATACAGTACCTAATTTATATATAATTAATATATAATTATATGTACAGTACCTAATTTATATGTAATTTATATATAATACTGTACAGATGATAGTAATCTCTCCGTAATTACGGACGGCGGGAAAGTAGTTCAGCTGCCCGATGACGTTTTACGTAATTATAGGAGTTTTTACGGGTTTTTACAGATACCGTCGCAATTTTTTCGCAGTTTTATAGGAATCGTAATTATAAGGGGGGTCTACTGTATAATACAATTATTTAAGAACACAAACCAATCAGAAAAGGGTGGCAGAAAGGTGTACTTTTTTAAAATCTATGTTTGTTTGGTGCAATTTTGGAAAAAATATAACATCACGGATGCCATAGGCAATATCAGCTTGGCTTGACAAGAATTAACTGATAAATGCATGAACAAAATGTGGAAGAAGTTATGGCTGAAGGTATCCAAGAATTCTCAACGAGAAGAGCCTATCACTGTATCGTTAGGTTGATCAAACTCAACCTAATCGATATGGCAGGACTACGAGATGTAGATGAGCAGGATATTGAGGAGTTATAGCAGGTTTCTGACGAGAGCCTTACCAACGATGACCTTCAAGAACTGAGAGAACAAGAAATTTGTGTAGAACAGGAAAACAGAGTTTTCTGAAAACAAAGAATCCAAAGAACTTGTACAGGTTTCCTCAGTAAAAGTTTGGTAAGATAACCAAAATTATTGATCAAATTGTAGCAAATAATCCCAGATTTTGAAAGGAGTGCAAAAGCAAGACGAGCATTTTGGATGCTATCTTCTGCTACCGACATTTGCTTAAAGAAAGAAAATGGTGACAAATGAAACTAGAGGACTTTATCGCAAAAAATAAGAATTTCAGAAAAACCAGGATTTTCCTTACAAAAAATGAACTTTACATTTTTGTGTGCCTATGTTTGTGTTATTTAACATATATTATTATGCAAATAAATATAAAAATAACTTAAAATTAAAGTAAATTTTTTTACTTTTGGTCACGTGTTTCCGTATCCCTATTTACTCTATGTTAAAATGACCTCGATTAGTGTTGTTTTGCTTAGCGCTTTGTTGTCTAGGAACTAGGAAGCAGGGTCTTACTGTAATTCCTTTTTGGGAAAACTTTTTTATTTATTTTAAATGTTGTGTTGAAACTATATATTAATATAGCATGTTTCATTATTCATTTTTATACTATTATTAAAGTGCAGTAGAGTGTCGTATATCCAAAAACCAGTTATCCGAAACGTCTGTTAACTGAAAGCATTCCAGTCGGCAAATTAAAATTTTTGTTATTGCTATGGCGCTGCAATCTTTGGCTATATCTTGAGCTACTCCAATATTTTTTTTTTGTTGGTGTGTGTGTTTTAGCTGGCAGCACTGGCACTTTTGTGTGGTGTTTTTCTGAGGACTGTGTGTCGTGCTGAATCGAACATTTTTGATACTAGATCAACTTCTAAAGTAAAATTTTTTTTTGCTTTTATATTTTTCAATATATTAATTTTGTTTGTAAAAAATAAAGAAATAATTTTTAACGATACAATAGCCATGATTATTATTTTCAAAAGTTTATGTTAGGCTTAACATCGACGAAAATTCAACGCGAAGTGACACACAACAGAGAAAAATTTCACCATGGGATAGGTTATATTTTTTCGTGCATAATCGGTTATCCGAAAAATAAGTTATCCGAACAATCTTGATCCCCAGTTGATTCGGATAAACGACACTCTACTGTACTTGCATACTTGAAGAATACAAGCATGACATTTACATTTGAATGGCAAAATTTGTGTTTAAATCACACAAAATTTAAAATACACAAGTTGTGTAGAATGCAATTCTCTTGTAATTTGAGACCACTCTATGTATGTATGTACATACATATAGTGTGTGTAGTCTGTTGTGATAAATATACAAATATTTCTGTTGTAGGAAGAAAGTTAAAAGAAAATTAATATCATCTTATGATGAAATAGAAAGAAGAAAAGAAAGTAGTACTGACAGTGATTCAGATGTGTCTTCAGAGAAGAAAAGTCAAGTGAGAAGTTATAATAAACAAATGAAAAAAAGGAGACGAATAAAACAGATGTCACAGTCATCTGAAGATAACAGTGATGACGATGTTCAAATTATTTCAGAGGTTTGCCAGTTTTAAAAATTTTAATGTATTTTTTACTTTTATTATACTATGTTTTACTTAACAATGATATTTTGGATTATTAACTTGATAAGTAAGTTACTACTGAGCAATTCAGATCTTTATGTTTTTGGAAATACAGTAGAGCGTCGATTTTCCGAATCAATTGGGGACTGGGGTTGTTCGTATAACTGATATTTCGGATAACCAATTTATGTACGAAAAAATAGTTTAACGTATCCGATGTTGAAATTTTTATCCGTTGCGTGTCGCTTCGCGTTGAATTTTCGTCGATGTTAAGCCTAACAAAGACTATTGTATCGTTAAAAATTAGTTTTTTGTTTTGTACAAACAAAATAAATATATCGAAAAATATAAAAACAATAAAAAATTATACTTCAGAAGTTAATTTAGTATCAAAAACGTAAAATATTTGAGTAGCCGAAGATATAGCCAAAGATTACAGCACCACAGCACTGGTGAAAATTTAAATTTGTCGACTGGAAATCCTTTGGATAACGGACGTTTCGGATAACCGACCTTCGGATAAACGACGCTCTACTGTATTTCAAATTTTTATTAGAAATATATGATTTTTTATGTTAAGATTCTAGTTCAGCATAAAAATTTTATGAATTTTATTAAATATGCTCATTTTTAGAATCAAGATCAAGGAGATACACCCATTGGGAAAGGAAGAAAAAATATCAGAAAATTGATATCTGATAAAATGTTGAGAGAAGAAACTAAAGCTGCTGCTCAAGCTGAACTAGAACGAAAAAGGCGTATTTTAGAAAGACAAAAAGCAGTAAGTTTAATTGTTATATATTGAGAATAAATTGAAGTTATGTTAAAATTCTAGTTTAGCAGAAAAGTTTTATGAATTTTATTAAATATGCTCATTTTTAGAATCAAGATCAAGGAGATACACCCATTGGGAAAGGAAGAAAAAATATCAGAAAATTGATATCTGATAAAATGTTGAGAGAAGAAACTAAAGCTGCTGCCCAAGCTGAACTAGAACGAAAAAGGCGTATTTTAGAAAGACAAAAAGTAGTAAGTTTAATTGTTATATATTGAGAATAAATTGAAGTTATCTAACATTAAATTGTCATCTTTTAGTACAATCACACTGTTATAGAAGTTACTGAGACTGGAGAGTGTGTAACTAAAAAGCTAGTTCTAGAAGTTGATGAAGAAAACAAAGAAGAAATAATTCAAGTACATCCAAGTCTTATTGTTAAACTGAAACCTCATCAAGTAGAAGGTAATTCAATTTTCATAATAATGTTTTTAGATCTAAATAAAAAAACATACAGTATACCTCTTTTATCTGATATTGGATAATACGAAGTCCTGTTTATTATTGGGACCTTGAATAAGTTCTCACTGTTTTCCAACAGATGGCATTACCAGAACTGCATGTGTGTAGTTTAAGATGGTGGTGCATCTGTAAGGAAGTACCATAAGCAAGCGTGTAATTCATTATATGTCATTTTCCGAAGTGTAAACAACTTTTTTTTCATGGTGTTAAATATGTCGAGTTTCGTGCCAAAAAAAGAGTATTTGCGGAGAATTTTATTGCACTATTTTATTAAAAAAAAATCTGCAGCTGAAGCACACAGAATTCTTGTTGAGACTTATAGTGACCATGCTCTGTTGGAAATAACACACAGAGATTGGTTTAGATGCTTCAAAAATAATGATTTTGATGTTGAAGATAAAGAACACTCTGGTGCACCAAAAACGTTTGAAGACAAAGAATTGGAGGTATTACTTCATGAAGACTCATGTCAGACACTAGCTGAACTTGAAGAATCATTAGGAGTTGATCACACAACAGTTTCGAAACATTTGAAAGTATTAGGAATGATTCAAAAGCAAGGACATTGGGTGCCGTACAAGTTGAAGCCGAGAGATGTTGAATGGCATGTTTTCATGTCTGAACCATTGCTTCAATGGCAGGAAAGGAGAGGTTTTTTGCATCGTATTGTGACTGGCAATGAAAAGTCGATACACTATGATAACCCTAAGCGTAGAAGATTGTGGGGGTAAGTCCGGCCATGCATCAACATCGTCAACAAAGCCATGGTTTGAAGCTTCTGCTCTGCATTTGGTGGGATCGGGTGGGTGTTGTTTTTTATGAGCTGCTCAAATCGAACGAAACCATCATGGGAGATCGCTATCAACTATAATTGATGCGTTTGAGCCAAGCATTGAAGGAAAAATGGCTGCTATACGAGCATCGACGCGACAAAGTGATTTTGCAATACGACAATGCTTGGCCACATGTTGCACATCCAGTGAAAACCTACCTGGAAATGCTTAAATGGGAAGTCCCACCCCACCCGCCGTATCCACCAGACATTGTTCCTTCTGATTATCACTTGTTCTGAACGATGGTACAGTACATGGCCTGACTGAGCAGCACTTCCATTCTTATGAAGATGCCAAAAAATGGGTAGATTCTTGGATAGCCTCAAAAGACGTATAGTTTTTCCAACATTTTACGACTTTTTTTTAAATACAGCATTAATTTTCACGAAAAAACAGCGAGAACCTATTTAACGTCCCAATATAAAGTAATTTTCCAGTCTTGTGAGCAGAGATAGGAATTTTAATGTAAAGCTGTTCAGTTAATACGTAATACAAAGTGCAGTTATGGTCCCCAGAATATGCAAGTTTTGCTGTTCAGGTTTGTTAATACAAAGGTAATACATACCATAACTTTTAAGATGTCATGAGTCTGAAGTGGACATTGACTTTGATGTCAAGTTCAGTCTTTGTTTAGTCATGGCATTTATTGTCTGCAGCCCATGCATGTTAGTCTTATATGCTTTTTCACTTTGGAAAAAGACTAAGCAGGAGTGCTGGTTTTTGCAAATGATTGGAAATGGTAAAATGCATGTACACAGACTTATCACTAGAGATGAAACTTAAAATCGTGGACGAAATCAAGAAGGTAGGAAAGCTTAAAGTAACAGAAGCAAACAAGTTTAGTGTGCCACAAAATACTATTTTGATGGTTTATAACATTTAGAAGATAGTACTAAGAAAAGAAAATGCATTGGAAGAGCAAAATTTAAGAGTTTAGAAGATGGCCTTCTGGAATGGTTCTGGCATATATGTCTGCATTGAACATGCCCTTTTCTGGGCCAATGATGAAAGAAAAGACTGATGTTATTAGACTTAGGCTGTGTGTAGATAGGTTCAATTGCAGCAAAGGTTGGATGCAATGTTTTCAGGTTAGTTTTTACAAAAGACTTTTATATTTTATGTCTTATAATTTTGTAAATTTTTTCTTTCAAATACAGTAAAAGAAACAGCAACTTTGTTTAGAGATTTTACAGCAATTTTAAACAACAAATTGTTAGATGATTCAGACATGTGGTTGTGAGGAAGTCATGATGTCATTAAACACCTGCAGGTTCAACCATTTTTGTGATAAAATTAATTAAGCAAAAATATAACAAAATTTGTGTTTCAGTGTTAATATATAGTAATGCTATAGTAATGCTATGGAGATTACTGTAAAAACGATTTTTGATGAACAAAAATGGAAATAACATAAAATTGATTCTATTCATATGATTGAAATTTTCTAGGTAGTAGTAAATAGATTTTAAAATATCTGTTAAAATTTGCAAACTTGCATGTCAATTGTTTGCATGGGAACAACTAACTTAAAACCAGATTACTTGGTCATCACATATGTCATCAACAAGTGGATTTTTAACACTTTTAAACAGCCAATAGCAAATTTAAATTTTATAAAACTCATATACTTATGAATTGAAATCATTTGCAGCAAAGACATGGTATAACATGGCACTGTGTTTCTGAAGAGTCAGTATTGGTTAACAAGGAGGCAGTGGATGACTGGAAGACAGGTCACAAATCCGTTTTAAATTCATATGAAGCAAGGAATATGTTTAGTACAAATGAGATTGTTTTGTAGGCTGCTTCCTAATAAGACTTTGCTGTGAAAGAGGAAAGTCTTCTGGGAAAGCTGAGTAAGGAACAACATGGATGGGACTGAAAAGCTTCAATCTTTGGTTGTTGACAAATCAGTGAAGCCCAGGTGCTTCAAAAATATAAGCCACAATACTTTCCTTGTGATCATACTGTAAATACCATAGCTTAAGTCAAAACACAGATCTTTCAAGATAGATGCAGATGGCACACTATAAAAGGAATATGCTTTTGGACCAATGTACTGCCCACCATACTGAAAGGTACGTCTCTGAAAACATAAAGCTACTCTATCTTCCAGCAAACACATTATCTCTGTTGTAGTTACTAGACCAGAGCATAATCCATCATTTGAAAGATTTATTGAGGATGACTGATAAAATATTAGTGTGTCATGTAGAAGACAAAGAATACCTTGCCTTTATAATGGAGCATTCTCAATGCACTAAGGAATGGATCTTATTCCTGAGAAAAAGTTTTATCTGAAGTGAATTTCAATTGCTTTAGGAAGGCTTGTTTTATTTTTTTGTTTTAAAGTAGATGTGGAAGATGGGCCAGAAATAGGCTATGAAGATCATTGAAGAAGAACGGACAACTCTACAGGAATCATTAATTCTTTAGTCTGATTTTAGAGACTACATCCAAATTGATAATGAGTTGACAACCAGCAAAATTCCCATGAAGGAAGAATTAGTGAGAAAAGACAGTAACATCAAAGGAGAAAATGAAGTGGAGGCAATAGATGGTGAAGTAGAAGCAGCAGGTTATAGCTTACTGCCATAAGCATATGCTGAGAATGCACTGGCAGTGCTGGAAAATGTGTTTGATTGAGTGCCAGAACTTTGAGTCATTTCATTTGACAAGTTAAATGATCTTGTAAAGAACACATATAAGAGAAAAATAATGCAAATGCATATTGATTCATTTTCAACTGACTTTAAAACATAGCTTATATTAATAAAATATCACAACTTTATTAGTGAAACTATGTACTCTAGTTGTTTTGATTAATGTTTTCAGCACAGTGTCATACCATCCTAATTAAAATACAGCTGTGTTTTAAGTTATTTGCTGAGGGACAGAAACATCACGTTTGAATTGAATTTGGTTAACATGAACCAAAATATTCATTATATCTGCCTTTTTTTTTTCTGTCTTTTAAACTTCATAATAAAGAGATCATACTGTATGTACAAAACTAGTGAACTAGTATTAATTATAATTGCTTGTTTATTTGAAGGAAATGTAATAATGCTAAAATATCACTAATCTAACAAAAATATTAATTATTTTCATTTTAAGTATGTACAGTACATTACTCAAATAGTATGCAGATATAAAATCAATAAATTAGGAAATGATGAACAGCAAATTAACAAACAAATTATATGTACTGTACATTCAAACCATAATTTAACACCATCATTTGTTGATTTCTGAAATTTGCACTAAACTTAAGAACCTGAAAAAATGAGAATTATAATTCTCATTGTTTTAGTTACTTAGTATAGACTTCATTGGTCTACTGTTTCCAAATTACAGACCTTAGATTTCCACTGTCATTCATCTGTAGATTTTTCCATCCATCCTTTCTTAATCTTGAGAATGGAGTGAAGACCAGATATAGAAAACTTAGGGCCAGCAGCCCTGATTAACTATAAACTAACTTAATTCAAATTATTTCGTATAAATTTAGATAATTCAGGTTTTGCTCAGGAAGTTGATATGAGATTGTGTGGTAGTTGGAATAAAAGGATAAACTTTAAAATATGAGGTAAAAAAATTTTATTGAAAACATATTTTTACTATTAACAATACTTGTTTATAAACAACATTTTTCATCTTGTTATCTGGGGTATGTTGCTTCCAGTGGTGGTAATCAAATTTTTCCATTCATGCAACAGAATCTTAGTGTTTTCTCCACTGAATTTTTTCGCGTTGCAAAATTGGCAGATGTTATCCATTTTTCTGATTAGAACATGTTTGTGTTTGTTATATTCTTTTGTTGGGTCGTAGTGGAATGCTTCATTTGTTAGGTTGCACTGTTTACTTGTCCTCATCTGCGCTTCTCATAGGGTGATATTTGCATGGGTGGCTTGTGTTCGCAGTTTTTTATTATAAGATTGTGTCAATTTGTTCAATTTGTTGTTCTTTGGTTTCTCTGCTTCTCACGGTGCTCATTCTTGTTCATTGGAAACGAAAACGTGCCTCGCGCTCTTTGACTGTTTTGTTTTTTCGCTGTTCTTTTTGTTTTTGCCGTTTTGTTTCAGAACTGGCAAGAGCTCTTCCTTTTTTAAGTTTGGGCATTGTATAAAATATAAATCAAATCAACTTTTTATTAACAAATATTCTAAGTACATTTTACACAGTTTTCACACTTTATTTTCGATTTATATTCAGTCACTGTATCACTTTGACTGCTCACACTTTACTGTTTGTTTTTATTCACTCACTGCACTACTTTGGAATTTTTGCTTCTTTTTCGGTTTTTCCCTTTGTCACTGATAAGAAACTGACATTTGAACCCATGACGGATCTTGCTTTATATACCCCCACTAGTGGGTAGTCCCACCCATACAAAAAAGGCTTTGAATGGTCCACAATGTTCCAGAACAATCCACAACATTCGAGAGTGTTCTGGAATGTTCCACAATGTTGCGGGATGTTCCCAAACGTTCCAGAACATCCCGGAACATTCTGGAATGTTGTGGAATGCTCTCGAATGTTCTGGACTGTTCTAGAAATTTCTAGAGGGTGAAACTTCCAGCCCTTATATCTTCAACAGCACACCCTTCAGGTGAAAATGGGAACCTTCTTCATGGATGGGGGATAGAGGGCTGATGCACCATATAACTCCCTTGATCATATCTGGACTCGTTTTTGAGTTTGTGGCATACACATTGTACACTTTGTAAAGTACTATATTATTTTTCTGACTTTTTCAACGATTATCGACACGACTGTGTGCCAGAAATAGCCATTCCCTAATGGGTACTTTATGCGGATTCGTGTTAGTGTGCCAGGCCTGGACTTTAAGCATGCACCGAATTAAATAATGACAAAGTTTGTCAATAACAAATCAAATATTTAATAAATAATTCTAATAACTATATACAATATTTTGTAAAATCAAATAACAAATTTATTCAATGAAAGTCAATAAGAATCAACTTGACAAAACTCAAATCAATCTATTTTCCAACTTAATTGTATTCCCCTTTGTAATTCGATAAAATCAAAGACTTAATTTATGTACAATAATTCTTATGAATTAAAGATCCTAATTGTCAACTCAATATACTAGGAACCTATTTCCTCAACTATCAAGACTTTCTCTATTTGTCAATTCACAAATCAAATAACTTAAAAATCGCCTTGGACTATTTGATCCTATCGGACACCTCTCTCGTTCACTGCTACGAAGCTCACCAAGCTCGTTGCTATCAGAAGCTCACCTCGTCCGTCTTCACTTGAGGTTCAGTCTTTATACTGTGAGGTGACGTCACAATTCTGAATGCAATCACTCCCCTCATTTACATACTTATTTGCTAACAATAAACTTTTTCTATTTGTCTGGCAGCCTATTTTTCCGACAATACTTGCTAATCTTTTACATTATTCTTTTTGACAATTTTGGGGATGTTTTTTATTCTTTAAGGTTTAGTGAGTCCCTAAGTTGTGCTTGTGGGGTCTCCCCCCTTTTCTTGGTGCGGACCTACTTTTTTCCGCTTGGGAGCACAAGTGTGCACGAGTTTTTTCTACGGCACTTTTCTCTCGTTGGTGAGTTGGTTTCTCTTCTATTTTTAAGTTTTTAAGGTGAATGGTGAGGAAACCTTCGTCCTAACAAAACATAAGCCCCAAACAAAATATAATAAAAAGCAAAAATAAAAGTAAATAAAATATAATGCTCGGACTTGGTTTTTTACAACTTACTTTTATAATATACAGTAGAACCTCGATTATCCAGACCTCTATTATCCGGATTTTCGATTATCCGGATTGTTCAAAATAAACAAAAATTTTACAAATTTGCTGATTTGCACTTGGTGAATTATGATACTGTTTATGTACGTGATGGAATGCATAACATTTTTTGTTTCAACATCATCTCACCCGGCACAGTAGTCGTAAACTCTTAAATATATTTTGTGTCGTAATAAAAATATAACTTGACATACATATTTATAAATAATTTATACTCAAATTACATCATTTCTATAACCAAGGGCGGCATAAGGCATGGGCAACGTGGGCCACCACCTATGCCTCGCGCCTCAAAGGTTTATGCATTACTTAAAAGCCGAGAACGCAACGAAAAAATTTTACTCATCATAAAACGATAAATAGTTTGTCAAATTTTTATTCATAAAAATGCAGTTTCAACTGCTTTTTATTTTATAAAATCCGTCTTTTTGAGCCGCCAGAGGGCCTTTTAAACAATAGCTAGTCTGTTAGCGCTGGTCAGTAGTAGTTCAAATTCAATAAAACATTTGTTTCTTGAGAATTTGATCATGATTTAAATACAGTATTTATTTTTAAAATTAACGATATGTCTTTGAAAAGAAAACGTGTTGTATTATCATTAAAAGACAAATTAAAGTATTTGTTTCGATTATCCGGATTTTTCCGTATCCGGACTACCTTCATGCTTAATTAGTCCACATAATCAAGGTTCTACTGTATATTGATTTCAAAAAAAAAAATTTGAAAAGGGAAAGTTGCACCTGATTTACATGCAACTTTCCTTTTAAAAAATATAACTTGACATACGTATTTATAAATAATTTATACTCAAATTACATAATTTCTATAACCAAGGGCGGCGTAAGGCAACGTGGGCCACCACCTATGCCTCGCGGTCCGAAGGGCCTCGCGCCTTGAAGGTTTATGTATTACAACCGACATAGTTACCCACAAGATTCATATGTTCTATAAACTGTTGGGTAGAGGCAAATTGTCAGGTTTTAGTTTTAGATGAGTTTCAGATCTATACATTTACAGTGATTAAACATAGAAACTATGCAAGTTTATATTTAGTATAAAAAGTTGACATTGAAAAGAAAGTGAAGAGAAAATGTGATATTGATGCTTATTGCTAGAAACTTTTAAACGTAGTTTAATATCAAAACAGATCATTTTGACTTGAATTTCCACATATAATTGAATTAAAAAGACTCAATGATATATATCATTTTTTTACAGTGTTAGCTTTTAAAAAGGATATGCATTTTATTTTTAAGCTATAAAACTTTTGTATTTAGATTTTAATAGTTGAAAGTAAAGTTGTGTAAAACTTTGCTTACATTGTTAAGTTTTGTATTTACCTTTGTATGCTCTTCATTTGATTATATATTTGTATATTATAAACAGTGAGACTAATTCTTCAAGTTCTCTGTATTTCTTGTATATTTTGGAAATAAATAAATTTTTCTATTGAAGATGCTTCTGAAGGTGAAATGACATCATTTTGAAATGTTTTTTATTTAAATATTAAAATGTATAATTTATAATGTAAAGTATAAATGTATAATTGCATAGTATTTATAAAATATAATAAATATTTTATAAATACTATGCAATATAGAATAGTGTCACAAAAGAGTTGGAATAATGAAATCAAATTGCATTTAGAATGAAAACAGAGTTTTCTCTAAAATAATAAATTATAATTAATAGAGAATCATTCTCAAATTATTGTTGGAATTTCTTTAAGTCATTAGCAAACATAACTAGAATATCAGTATTATTATACAATCTGATATAATTAGAATATCATTCAATAAAACATTTTCTTTTTCTATCCACAGGTGTCAAATTTATGTGGGAGGGCACAATAGAATCATTAAAACAATTGAATTCTACTCCAGGATCTGGATGCATTTTGGCACATTGTATGGGTTTGGGTAAAACATTACAGGTTATTGTTTTTACTCATACATTATTGACAAATGAATTTACTAAAAAAGTTATTAGAACTTGTTTGGTCATATGTCCATATAATACTATACTAAATTGGGCTCAGGAATATGAAACATGGTTGGATGAAGATGAACTTAAACTAAGTGTAAGTTTTTTATTAAAGAATATATTTAAAATCTCTATTCTTTTCTAAGTTTATGAAGTTAATGAATTATCAAATATTCTTTGGATATTTATATATTTATTGTTTTCTTTAAATTACTTGAGTTGTAATAACAAAGTATTTTTATTTTTCCAGTTGCTTGTTATACTATTTGAGAGATAAGTTTAATAAGAATAATTTTAGTAAAAATGAGTAATATTTTGGAGTCAAAAGATCTAAATTTTACATATTATATAAATAATAGAAGTGTTTCAAAATTAAAAAAAAAATTATTTTTCTATTATTATACAGGGTGTCCCTTTAAAATTGGCTGAATAAGATGATGAAAGATTAATAATGTAAATTTTATAGGGGATATCTACAAGAAAAACTTTGAGACCAAACTCAGAACTAAACACAAACTGAAGGAAAGTATTTACAGAAGCTTTTATGTTGTTAACATTGGTATTTTACATGAGGTCAGTCTGAATATGATTATGCATACACAAAGGTGTATATTAGGGGTGTCCAACCCATGTCCCGCAGGTTGCATGTGGCCTAATAAACATGTAAACAAAACCGACAAATGTTTTAATTAATTTATTTATTTATTTATTTCAACGGCATAAACTCAAAAAAGTAGTTTCACAAAGCCTTAAACCTTTATACATATTTTATTTTTGATTGGAAAGGAAATATTTTCAAATACTTGGAAATGTGTGAATGAGGAAGGTACAAGGTCTGTTCAAAAAGTATCGGACCTTTTTTTTTCCGCGTAAACCAATGATGCACGNGTACCCTTTGTACATAGTTGTACAAAGAAGTTTTGTAGGCCCTAATTTTTTACACACGCTAAACGAAAGTAAAGCCGCAAAAACTATACCTAATTAATAATAATACTTCTTAACGCGAGCGAAGCCGCGGGCAAAAGCTAGTATTATATATACTTGTGGTCCAAAATTCCTTGACTTCTTCCAGTGCGGCCCAGAGAAACAAAAAGACTGGACATGCCTGGTGTATATATACACAATGACCTCAGCATCTTCTGTAAGTTTATGTATGTTTAAATAAAGTTTCTAATGAGTGTCCTTTTCCTTTATTTATATCATTTCCAGAGACTGGGTTTGATTTTACATGGGACATCCTGTATAATAATATAAAATTTTTAAACACAAAAACCATAGTATAGCAGAAAAATTTGACATTAAATTTTAAATAATTTAATTTCTTTTAAAAGAACTTTAGATAAAATGATTTCAAAGTTTTAATATTAGATAGAATTGTTAAAATAGAAAATAACAAAAAATACTTTGTATTAAATTTTTGAAGTTTATTAGAAACAGTCAAAGTATTTTCGTATGTAAATTTTTCATAAAACATAAATACAAAATTTGATATTGCTACTTATTTGGGAATTAAGATAGAATAAATTTAAACTATTTATGAAAATTTAATTTAATATAAGTTTATTTATTTCCTCTTTGAAATTTTCTGTGAAGTGGGTTTTTTTTTTAATACGAATCGTTCTTTAAATTTTGTACTTAATGAGCTGCTGTATTTTAACATAATAGAATATATTGAAGGAACACTTGAGATACAATGATTTCCTAATAGAGAAAATGTGAAATAAGTTTTAGAATTGATTCTTAGATTGTTTTAAAGGTTTAAAACTTTCTGGTAAAATTGCACATAATTGTTGTTAAGTTGTAGAAATAAAAGTATAATTAATTAAAGAAATCTACAATTTGCCCATAATTTTACTTTTATATTTTTAGACTGTTTATACAGGATGATTTATACAGACCTGAATCCAAATTTTTTTATTATATCTAGTACTCAATGTCTTCAACATAAGTGGTGGTATACTACCTGAAAATCTCATTGATTTCCATTTGTTCATTTAAGATGTATAATAAAAAAATTTGGGTTTGGTTATGCAAATTTCCCTGCATAAAATGTGTGCACACACATACATAATAACTCAAAACTGGCAGATATATAACAAAATAATCAACCTATTTCTTATCAGAGTTATTTAATGGGAAGTGAATATTTTTTAATCATATTTGCAGGGTGTCTGTTGGTCATGAAAGTCAAAAAAGTCATGATTTTTTTTTATCAATATTACAAGAGAAAAATTTTTTCAGTTTGTAATAAAAGGAAAAAATCATTTATACTTCATTATATCAATTATATCATTATATCAATAACTAATGAAAAATGTTGAATATCCATTCTATATCCAGGTATTGGNTGGCGAAAGCAGCACTGGCCCAAGCATGGCTACTGCAATGCCCTCAACAGATGTGAGGAATCAACCTAGCCTTGGTGTTTCTGTGGCAATGCATCCACAGACCACAAAGGTTGGAAAACCACGCCAACGGATGAAATGGACAACAGAAATGAACGAGTTTATCATCCGTACTTACTACACCATCACAAGACTCGAAACAAACATGACAGCACACAGACAACAACTACACCATAGATTCACACAACAATATCCTCACCTCACTGTCACCGAACAAAGGGATGTTGATCAAAAGAGAACAATTATACACAACAGTCTTATCCCACAACCAACACTTGAACTTATCAAACAACAGGTTGCTGATCAAATACATCAAAAGACAGAAACATTTAACATTAATGAAGATCACGTAACCTGTCAGGATAATCCAGCAACAAGCACTGATTACAGCACACACACAACAACTACAACTAATGATACTACAGGCATTTCTCCATCCATCACTGATAACGTAGACATAGATTTAGTTAATACTCTCTCACTTATATTTCAGGAAACACTCACTAAATATACAGGCACAGATCCCACACAAAGACCACAAATACTGAAAATCAACACGTAAAAGGTAGTAGGAAAAACATTAAGTTACTTAAACACTCACTTACTACCAAACTACATTCATTCAATTTCTACACTCATACATCAGACATTCATACATTAGTTTATGCCGGGGCAGTCACAGTAGTAACACACCATGAACTGAAAATACACTCACAGACAGACAACACAAAACACAATCCTATCACAAGCCTGCCTGCCTGGCAGAGAAGAATAGAAACACAAATAAATAACATTAGACAGCAATTAGGCAGGCTGACACAATACACTAAAAACAACATAACACCCAAATTAAAGAAACAACTCAAAAACATTTTCAAGAAAATCAAAACACACACAAAACATGAACATCACAACACACACATTACAGAATACATCGATACACTAAAACAGAAACTCACAGCCAAAGCACGTAGACTCAAACGATACAAAACATGTACATTACGAAAACAACAAAATAAAGTATTCACAAACAATGAAAAACTTTTCTACAGACAAATCAGTA